TCTAGAGGGAGTTCAGCATGTGCAAGGAGTAAAAACTTTTTTTTTTTTAAAAAGCAGAAAACTTCCCAGAGCTTGAGAAAGTTATACATATCCGGACACAGATTCGTCAAAGAACACCAAATAGATCTGACCCAAATAAGACTACCACAAGGCATATAACAATAAAACTCTCAAAGGTCGAGGACAAAGAGAGATTCCTAATAGCCATAAGCAAAAAGAAGCAAATAACATATAAATGAGCTCCAATTTATCTGGCAACAGACTTTTCAATGAAAAGGAAGAAATGCAGCAGCATTTTCAAAATATTGAGAAAAAAAGAAAACCCTGCCATTTAAGAATACTGTGTACAACAAACTTATTCTTCAAATATGAAGAAAAGGTACTTTCCCAGACAAACAAAAGCTAAGAGAATTCACCACTACCAGACCCATCTTACAACAAATGTCAAAGTGAATTTTTTTATTTGAGAGAAAAACAAGTGAAAAAAACATTTTTTAAAAGTATAAAACCTTCTGGTAGCTGGGCATGTTGGCTCATGCTTGTAATCCTAGCACCCTGGGAGGCTGATGCAGAGGGATTGCTTGAGCCCAGGAGTTCAAGATCAACCTAGGCAACATAGTAAGATGCTGTATCTAAAAAAAAAAAAAAAAATTAGCCAGGTGTGGTGGTATGCACCTATAGTCCAGCTACCCAAGAGGCTGAGGTGAAAGGATAACCTGAGCCCAGGAGTTCAAGGTTGTGGTGAGCCGTGATTGTGTCACTGCACTCCAGTCTGGTTGACAGATTGAGATCCCAACTCCAAAACATAAAAACAAGCAGCAAGAGATTATTAGAAACTAAATAGGCAGAATGATGGTCCCCTTAAGATCCTCATCTCCAGAATCTATGAATATGTTATGTTACATGACAAGGGAAATTAAGGTTACAGATGAAATTTAAGTTGCTAATCAAGTAATCATAAAATAGGGAAATTATCCTGTGTTATCCAAGTGGGTCCGAGTAATCACAAGGGTTCTTAAAACATGGAAGAGAGAGGCAGAAGAGTGTCAGAGAGATGTGATGTGAGAAAGACTTCACCAGCCATTGCTGGTTTTCATGATGGAAGGGGAATTATGAGCCAGGGGATGCGGATATCCTCAGAAAGGTGGAAAAGGCATGAAAATAAATTCTTCCTTAGTGCCAAAACCAAAACCAAAACAAACAAACAAACAAACAAACAAAAACAACAAAAATCCAACAACAATAACAAAAAGCCTCCTTATATTTTACATATTGATTTTAGCCCAGAGACCTATGTCAGACTTCTGATCTTCCAGAGCTGTAAGATAATACATTTATGGTATTTTAAGTCTCTGAGTTTCTAATAATTTGTTATAGCAGCAATAGAACACTGATTTACTGTTTAAAAGGAAATCTTTGTAAAATTTTGGTGGTATCTTATGGTGACTTTAAGATTTGACTTACTCCTTCAAGAATCTGTGACAGAAAAATGGGGAAACTGGGATTGCTAATTGCTGCTCTAAAATCTTGAGCAGCATGCCCAGCTACTTGGGAAACTGAGGTGAGAAGATCACTTGAGGCCAGGAGTTGGCACCACTGTACTCCAGCCTAGGCAATTAGAATGAGACCCACTAACATATACGGGGATGCCAAAAAAGGTATATATATATATATATATATATATATATATATATATATATATATATATATATATTTTTTTTTTTTTTTTTTTAGTCAGTCTCACTCTGTCACCCAGGCTGGAGTGCAGTAGCACACTCACGGACATCACAGCCTCAACTTGCTGGGCTCAGGCGATCCTTTTGCCTCAGCCTTCCAAGGAGCTGGAACCACAGGTGCATACCACCATGACTGGCTAGTTTTTTGAATTACTATAGAGATGCAGTCTCATCAAGTTGCCCAGGCTGCTCAAGCAATCCTCTTGCCTCCTTCTCCCATAGTTCTTGGATTACAGGCATGAGTCACTGTGCACAGCAAATTAATGTATATACATTTTAAGTATGACATTTGCTCAAAAGATGGCATTAATCACATGAATGCTATCATCACCATGCAATGGGCAGGACAGTCAAAGAAAACGGTGGAAGCGTGGTTGAGCAAATTTCATAGTTCACATTGTTATAATTTAATTCATTTTCTAAAAGTACTGAAGAGAGGTCTTTGGATTCAAGCAGCAAGAGATTATTAGGGACTAAGTGGGCAGGCAGAATGATGGTTCTCTAAAGATGCCTGCATCCTCATCTCCAGAATCTATGAATATGTTATGTTACATGGATGTCTCTCTCTCTTTTTTTTTTTTTGAGTTGGAGTCTCACTCTGTTGCCCAGACTGGAGTGCAGTGGCCGCTCCCGGCCACTGCAGCCTTGACCTGCTGAGCTCCGGCGATCCTTCCACCTCAGCCTTCCGAGTAGCCAGAACTACAGGCACGCGCTACCACGCCCGGCTAATTTTTGATTTATTGCAGAGATGAGGTCTCACCAAGTTGCCCAAGTGGGTCTCGAACCCGCGGGTTCAGGCAATCCACTCACCTCAGCCTCCCAACATGGATGTCTCTTAAAATGTGTATGCATTTTTTGGCACCCCCACATGTATTATATATAATGTATATATTACATATATAATGTATATATTACAAATATTATATATTATATATATGGAGGACCCCCAAAACCTTGGATTTATTTATAAAAAATTGTGTATTTATTCTTACATGTTTAAACTTCAGTTGCTTCAAAGTACTTTCCGTTTGACGCAATGTACCTGTCAAGGTGCCTTTTCCATTGCTCAGAACAGTTTTTGGATTCATCAGTTTAGATGCCTTTTAGCGCTTTTGCTGTGTTTTTGTTTCACCTCTTCCACATGGACAAAAAGTTTCCCTTTGAGGATTTTTTTTTTTTTAATCAGAGGAAACAAACAAAAAAAACTGCTCAGGGCAAGAGCAGGTGAATAAGGAGGGTGGAGACTGGGGATCATGCCGTTTTAGGTCAGAAACTGTTGAACACTTATTGCGATGCAGGAAGGTGTGCCCATAAATCATCCATCATAAAATGTGCAAACATGTTGAAAGACTCTCCAAAAAATTCACTGAAGCTGAACATAGCCTCTTACGACAATACCAGCTGGGTCACTGATGCCAAGGGTTTCTGGAACACTTACTTACTGGAGAAGCCTGTGCTACAAAGGTCACACCCACCAGAAAATAATTCAGTTTTTTTGAGTCCCCTCCTCATATATTTCATATATAATAATAAAGTGTTATTTAAAGGGCTTTTGAGAATGATAGTCCCGTAATCTAATTGTTGAATCCCACTATGGCATTTAAATATTCCATTGCATTTCTGCTATTCTAAAGGCAGGCTAACCATAGACCCCAACTTGCACAACAAATCTGGGAATATGATTGCCTTCCCTTCCCCTTTGTTCTGTGGTTTTAAAAATTTATTATTGTCAGTAACCTATACCTTCTAGCTAATGTCTAGTAACCAGGTAGTATTCATCAATGATTGGGAAAAAGTTATAAAATTATTTTTGTGCAGTTATTTGACTCAGTGTGGGTTTACAGACAAGAGGACTGAATTTCAGAGCAAATTAATGATTATCTTGTGTCACTGTTTCTTCATCCATCTGCCATTGCCAGAGCTGGCCTATCTTTCTACTCTACTATTACATTTCCCTGTCTGGCTTTAGGATCGGATTGCTTCTGGCTAAAGCCAGACAGGGAAATGTAACAGTATGGCAAATAAGAAGGGAGTAGCAGTGAAAGAGTAGTCTGTTATCTTCCCCCACTGTTTTTTAATCACTGACAAATAGTTTCATTTTTACTAGAGCAACACAAAATGGAAAATGCTAATAGCAAACATAATCCTTATTATGTATCACACATTGCTGTAAACTGCATTATGTAGCAAAACTCATTTATTTCTCGTATTTTTTTTGAGGGAGATATACTGTTACTATGGACGAGAGACCCTGAGGCACAAAGGGGTTACTTAACTTGCTCACAGTCAGACAGGAGCAGAGTGGGATGTGGATGGGAGACGATAATTTTTGTGTAACTTTAACACTTCTTTTTATTTTGAATAATTTCAAAGCTATGGAGAATTTGAAGGAACAGTACAGCACACATCCATATACGTGATCTTTTTAAAATCCAACAAGTATACACATTTGTCACACTCTTTAGCTCCACTGGTGTTTGCATGATCATTTCAAAGCGACACACATCGTAACACTTTGGCATTCTTTATTTTTAGAAAATCAGATCAGTGCTATATAGGATTTTGAATACTTTGGTTAAATTCACATAGTCACTGATACAGGACTTCACATTTGAGATGCTGACAAAGGGACAGGACAGTTGAGACAGTGTGAGAGAGTAGCTGGTTCAAATACCTAACAGCTAGCTATAAGTTCTGTACTTCAGCTAAATTAGGCCCATCTATTATCAAAACAACAGAATGACGCAGTAATCTTATTGTCCCAATTTTTGCAGATTACCTCAGATATAGAAAGGTAGCTTGCTCGGGGCCACCCAACCAATATGTAGCAGAGCCCCATAAAATCCAGGTTGTTTGGTTCCAGCCTTTGAGCTCTTTTCTACCTTACGTCTAGGTAAACACTTCCAGGGGGAAAAGTCCAGATTCAAGAATTTTTGCTAACGAACCTTCTTACGGGCAAGGCACATTTGATGAGGAGTATTTACCTGGGTACCCAACTCAAAACTATTTTTAGTTTTCTTTCATTTGCCTTTTCTTCTTTTTTAAAAAGCAACAACCCAAATCTAGACGGAACATCAAAGGCAAGAGGAATCTGGAAGACGGAGGCAGGGGAGACAGAAAGGGAGGCGGTGGTTACAGGACGTTGCCTGCGGCCGTGGCCCGGTGCATCGTGGGAGTTGTAGTCCAGGCATCCAGAGCATTCCCGTGTACGGCAGCAGAGAACCTGCCTGCGCTCCCAGAAGCCTCCGGGCCGGCAGGCCGGGAACACACTTCCGGGGACGCCGAGCGGGAGAATCTCCAGGAGGCTCCTCGGTGTGGGCGAGTGAGATGCCCTGTGTGTGAGAAGCAGGTAGGTGTGGTCAAGACGTTCCGTTTTCTGGGTCTTTTGCATAAGTCGTTGAGGACTTGATGTAAGATAGTTAAATCGCCGGGCGTCAGGGGCGTTGAAAAACGCTGCGGGCAGTAGCGGGAAACTGCCGGGAAGGCAGTGGGGAGGCGGGATTGGCAGTGGTGGGAATCCGCCTGGGACGGGGGGGGGGGCACACCTCATCAACAAGGGTACCTGCATAATGAACGTTTGTATACCTAACCCTGAATTGTACCCCACATCTTTAAAAGAAAAAAAAAAAATTAAAAGAAAAACGCCACGGCCATACTTATGGATGTGAACATTGAGTGAGGAGGTATTTGCTAAAGCCCCAGAAAATTACCGGAGTAGGGGAAGGTGGACGAGCGTCGCGGAGCCGCCCGGGCCGGGAGCCCGGCGGGCCGCGCGGAGAAGGCCCGGGACTGTTTCTTAGAAGCCCGCTGGTGCTGTTGTGTAATGGTCACCGGCCTGCATGAACTCCCACGCGTGTTCAGAGCCGCCTGCGTGCGGGCGCTCTCCGCGGCTCTCCCAGCAGGACTTTTTCTGCCTGGCAGTTCTGGTGCTCTGAGGGACTCGGTGTGAGAAGAGGGGGGGCTGCGGGTGCCCCTGGAAGCTTGGCTGTCTTTCCTGGAAGCCCGAGTTCTGTGTCCAGGCCTTGAAGTCGCGTAGTGAAAGGCCGGACTTGGTGACCCCACTTGAAACGACAACTCGGGGATCCTGTTGTGTGTGTTCACTGTAATGATTACCTGTGACTCTGGAGGAAGTGATTGTGCTCGATACCCCCTCATAAACATTGGCTTGGGTGGTGTGAGAGGACTTGGTTGAAATCCCCAGCAGACAGTTGCAGACAACATTCTGCATGATGGTCATCATAGGGCTGGGGATGGACGCCTTCGTCCAGGAAGGCTCAGGCGTTTATGGGTTTTCATTCTCATCCTTCCTGTTTGAGGTCAGTGGCATTTGAAGAGAAGTGATTGATGTTTAGAGTAGATTTACGGAAGCATCTTAAAATGGCAGTTTGAGTCATCCATGGAACCATAAACTAAAAAAAAAAAAAAAAAAAGCGTTTCAAATGCTTTTTTCAGTGTAGATCGACTATGTCTGGATTTGTTGTCAATATCCTTTTTAAAAAGTGTAAAAGAAACAGTTCTTTTACTTCCAAGAGAACTGTACAGTATTTCTTCATCCTTATCGTTTTGTAGTCATGAAAAGGATCTCAAAATATCATTAAATATCGGTCCTATATTTCCAAGACAGTAAAGTGATTTTTTTTTTTTGAATCACCCAGGCTGGAGTGCAGTGACATGCTCAATACCACCATAGCTTTGACGTGCTGGGCTCAGGCAGTCCTTCCCCCTCAGCCTTCCAAGTAGCTGGAACCACAGGCCCGTACCACCACGTCCAGCTAATTTTTTGATTTATTGTAGAGGTGAGGTCTAGCCAAGTTGCTTAGGCTGGTCTTGAATCCCTGAACTCAGACAGTACTCTTGCCTCCACCTCCCAAAGTGCTGGGATTACAGGTGTGAGTCGCCAGGCCCGGATAGTAAAGTGATTTTTGTCCTTACTTCTCCTATCTTCTTAGGACACAAAATGAGAGTTAATTCTTTTCTTCTGTATTTTGTATACAAATAAAGCATGCGTTAAGGAATAATCTGCCTTTTAAAAAATGTACTGTCTGCCTTTTTTAGTATGTCATTGCTTTGGTTTTAGGTGATGGCTAATTCTTTTTTCTTTATTTGATTCAGAGTCTCACTCTGTTGCCCTTGCTGGAGTGCAGTGGCATGCTCACAGCCACTGTAGTGTTGACCTGCTGGGGTCAGGCGATCCTTCTGCCTCAGCCCTCCAAGTAGCTGGAACTACAGGCATTCGCCACCAAGCCTGGCTCTATTTTAAAAAATTATTTTATTTATTGCAAAGACGATGTCTTGCCAAGTTGCCTAGGCTGGTTTTGAATCCCTGGGCTCAGGCAATCCTCTTGCCTCCACCTCCCACGTGAGCTACCATACCCAGCCTACTTATTTTTTCTAATTTCATGAGAATTCACATTATTTTGCAGTTTTTGGAGAAGTACTATATTAATTTGGGGACATTTTTCCTGTTTCTTTAGGCCCAAATCATCACTACTGTGAGTTCAGATTTGCATGTGTTTCTTCTAAGCTGATTAAAACAATTTCAGAACTCTCAGGTACCTTAAAGGGTAAGTACATCTTTTAATTATATCTTACTTCCCTTCTTTTTGGCACCATTTATTTGTCCATCAATAATGACACTTTTTTCCTTTTCTTCAACAAAATAATGCAATAGGACAGACCTTCTTGTGAGTATAATGACTGATGACTTATAGTTTCTAAGAAAACCTAAATTATAGGTAGAAGAGACTCCCAGTGCTCCCATCAAGAGTTCATTTAGCTGCTATTAGACATATGTTCTCTTATAGCTATTCCCTGGAATTGTCACTGAAAAAATTAGTAATGAGTCTGTAGATCCCTAAAGCTTTTAGCTACTATTTCCGCTTCTGCCTTCTTTGAACTCTATTCAAAAACATAGAAAATACATCGTTTTGAAAATATTTTTATTCAAAATTATGTGTTTGATAGCATTGTGTACCAAATTTTATCCATATACTTCTCTGAAAGTCACAGTGGAACAGATTGTCAAATGACAAATGTGAAGTGGTTTTGAAACAGAGTCTATATCTTACTTGGATCAGTAACTCCAAAGAGAATGGTCTGTCATTCTTGTTATAAGACTATAATTTTCTGTGGTTGTATGCTGAGAGTCCAGAAGAAAAGTATGATTCTAGTTGAAGAAGGTTAATAAGCCTACTAACAATCATTACTAACTTAAATTTCTGGCCATATTCTGGTTTCACAACTACTTTGTGGGCCATTTTACAGATGAAAAATTTTAAGTTCATAGGACATATGTGACTGCTCAGTTTATAACTGATAGATTATGACTGGTATTTGAGCTTTGGTCTCCTGGACAGCAATACCAAGCTGCCTCCCAGATGGAGACAAACCCACTCATCTGTATATATGACCCAGTCTAAAGCTGTTACCTAGCTAGTGATCATGACTGCTTGTCAGATTTGTTAAAGTGTTCTCAGAATCACACATTTTCCACAGTCCCTAATTAGGGGTTTTCACATGGCAAAAATATCTTTTTTTCCCCCCAATGTAATATAGATATAATGTGTAATTGTATATACAATGTAACATACATATATATTTGAGAGGCACATCCAATTTGTAACATACCTATTAAGTTGAAATCAGAAGAAACAACACAGAAATAATTTATTTTCTAACCACTGTTGAAGTTAACCAGTGTTGCCATATTTAGATAGGTATTTTTAGAAGCATAGTCTGTATATAAGTACCTGGGAATGGCCTCATTTTTCCTGATCCCAGGTTTCTGGGGGGAAGAAATGAACTTTGTTTTAAGAAATGGGAGAGACTTTGGCCACTAAGCAGTAGAAAGCAGGGCCACAGTCTATAAACAGACTGGATGCTTCAGAACACAGAAGGGAATGAATTCCCCCAAATGAAATGCATGGAGCTCCTGGGAATGGCCTCATTTTATACTGGCCAATAAGGAATGCAAAGCAGGGCCACAGTCTATAAGCAGCTTGGATGCTTCAGAACACAGCATGGAATGAATTCCCCCAAGTGAAATGTTCTAGCTGACACTAGAGTTATAATGTTCTCTGTGTATCCTGACCACTGATATGGACTCTCCTTTTGTTTGTTCATTCATTCATCAAATAATTAAGTGCCTTTTATATGCCAGTGTTGGACGTAGTGAACAAAACAGAGGGATCTCTGTCCTAGGATTCACAGTCTGATGGGAAAGAAAAACACTGAACAAGGAATTGTAAGAATAATCACTGCTTCCAAAGAAAGAGTACAAAGGTGCTACCAGGGCATGTAACCAGGCGTAGGGGAAGAGTTAATGATGAGGGAGATCAGGCAAGGCTTAGGGCGAGCTTCCCTGGAAACTAGAAAGATGAATGGCTGTTAGCTAAGCAAAAAATAGATTGGGATTAAGAAAGTTCTAGGAGAAAAAAGAACGTGAGGGAAAGCTCTTAACCAAATTAGAAAGTGGAAAATTTGGGAAGTTGAAAGAAAAGCAGTGTGGCTGCATAGACTGTAGTGTGTCCATTGGGAGAGGAATGCATGAGGTTGAGAACGAGACAGAAATCAGATGGTGTGAGCTATGGGGAGGATTGGAAGGAAACTATAGAAATTTCATTCTGCACGAAATGGGGAGTTATTGAGTGGCAAGAAATGGAATGACATAATCAGATTTGCAATTGGAAAAAATAATTCTGGATTCAAAATAATTGACGTAGCACAAGAGTAGAGGTCTTGTTTACCTTTTCAAGTATGAACAAATCCTAATCTGGAAGTCACCATTATCTTTCAATTAATGTTTTAATTAAATATATTACTCTCCTACAAAATGTTACTTTACCCTTCTAGTGGGATTTGTAGCTTATTATCAGATCATAGGTATATGGAATTAAGATCAGGGCACAAAAGGTGAAGCAGCCAAAAGAAGTTATAAGGAGCTAGACATTAATTCTAACATCAAGGTATAGCTTTAAAATTGAGGTTAAAAGCATTTCGGTTCTGAAAAAATGCCATGGTACCTTTGTTGATTGTATAAATAGGATTTATATCATTCTCTGAGATTTGAGCTAAGAATGCTTCATCAAAAAGCATATAACCCAAAGTCCTAACACAATCACAAGTTCAGAGGAGTGATAGAACACGTGTATTGATTTGATTCAAGATATAGGTTGATTCATTTAATATTGTAATGGCCCACTGCTCATTAATGTCATTTAGTAGTCTATAGACTGAGAATTATAGGAATGTATTTATTTATTTATCTATTTAGAGTGGAAGTGTTACTCTGTCACCCAGGCTGGAGTGTGGTGGCACAGTCATGGCTCACTGCAGCCTAGACCTCCTGAGCTCAGGTGATCCTTCCACCTCAGCCTCTAGAGTAGCTGGGACTGTGGGCATGCCACCACACCTGGCTAATTTTTATGGTTTTTTTTCTTCTTCTTCTTTTTTTTAGAGACTAGGTCTTACTATGTTGCTCAGGGCAATGTTGAACTCCTGGGCTCAAGCGAGCTCTCACCAAAGTGCTGGAATTACAGGGGTAAGCCACAGCGCTTGGCCAGAATTTATTAATTCATAACAAAGTTATACATCCTGGAGTTTGTCATTTCTTTTGCACTACAAGGATTATTGGTAGTGAAACTTGGCTGGAGAAATTTCAGTTACATTGAAATTCCATGTATTTGTTTCTGCCTTTGAAAGCGAGAAGGAATTGTGATTGTGTTAGGACTTTGGGTTATTATCTGAAGAGTTCTGAAGCTTTGAAGGAAACACAAGGAACCTTTTTCTTACATCTTCACAACTTTAATTAATAAAATCCCCGTTCTCCTTTATTGCTCAGTCTTTAACTCTGGATGATAAATTTGTATGAACAAGTCCATTATTAGTTTACTTTGCTAACACCTGGCAGTAATCAGTTACTATGTCATAATCTTACAGTTGATTCACCATCAGCGTTTAGAGTTTGCATAGAATAGCCTATTATTTTCATAAATCTGTAGGCAGTTGGGAGCAAGATCCAGGTCTCAGTGTCCTTCCACGGCCTAACAGAGTGTTTTGCATATGCTAGATGCTCATAAATACTTGCTGAATGAATGATTGCTTAGTAACAGCTATTTCCTTGTCCAGTTCTACATTACCTGTGGCCTGCCTTTGTGAATTACTTTCATCTTTGTACAGATCCTACTACTCATTTATTCAAGTAATCTGAGAATGACTTGTGAGCCAGGCATTGTGCATGATGCTTACAGTGTATGAGGAAGACCGGTGAATAAGCATACACCCACAGGGAGCTAAATTCTGGAGCTTGGCATTGTTAGTAGCCTTTTCCAACGTAAATGTAGTTAAATCGGCACTAGTGTTTTCATTGCTGGACTGAGGTGTTCGCTTGCTAAGATTAAGCAAGACAGTTTCCAATTTGCATGAAAAAAATAAATTAAGACTATAAATTTAAGTCTTTTTATCCATAAAATTGACTTAAACAATTGCAACTTCTGATAATACTGAAGGCAACAGAATAAACAACTAGTGAACTAATATTAATGGAACACTTAGAACTAATCATGTTTAACTTGAGGACTTAAAAAAGGGTCATTTTTTCTTAAACTCTGATATTATAGTGTATATTTATATAGTTTGCATATGTATACATATATATCTGTACACATGGGTATTTTGTTGCTAGTAAAATTATTTCTAGATCATATGACTGGATTTAACATGCAAATAACATTGTTTTTTAAAGAACATTGTACCTTCCTACTGGAATACACATGAGAATCACAACCTAAGCCAGTTTCCTAGTATTTTGGTCATAGTTGTCTTTCTGATTCGGTCCTCCTGGCAATGCTACTTCACCATCTCAGCAGAAAATATTTGATTCTGTAAGGGATGTTGGATTCTCTGAACACCACCATACTGTATCCAGAAATAGAAGTCATTCTCAACTTTGCCTCTTCATTATTGTCTGACCAAAAAAAGTAAATGTACTACTTTATTAAAATAGTCTGTTCTGTTGCCTCATGGGGGCATTACAGAAGGCAGAGAATATACATTTGAGTAGTGCTTTGAAAGTGAGTTTCAGACCCTTGAAGAGATAAAACTGAGTAAGTTACTGGCTTTTATAGGTTATCATATACAGAAAAAGAACACAGACGTTTAATTTTAGATGAGAGAAAGTCCTGGCTACTCTTTTTCTTATAATAACATTAATAGAGATAGGATGTTTTAAAGACATCTTTGCATTCATCTTATATGAGCAGTAGTAGTATTATAACCAATAAGTGCTGTAGATTTTCCTGAAAGGCATTTGAGTCATCTTGAATCAGCCAGTAAGTGGTTGAACAGAGTAATTTCAGAGATCTTTGTTCTTGTCTTTTCATTTGACTGATTCATTGGAGCTGAGTCTTTACTTTTTATAACTTCCCAGTGTGCCTAGTACGTAAGAGAGATCAGTTTGCTTTTTTCTTATTTAACATTCATTCAACAAATGTTCTTTGAACTGCTCTGATGTTTTAAGCACTTGAGGTTATATTGCCTCATTGAATCCATAGAACAAGTCTGTGAGGCAGGCACTGTTATTTTTTCCATTTTATAGATGATGAAAGTGAGGCACAGGGAAACTCTGCAACTGGCCCACCAAGGTCACTCGGCTAATACGTGAGGAGGTGGGGACTGAAATCCAGGTAGTGTGACTGAGTTTGCTCTCGACCACTTTGCTCACCAGCAGTGCTTCTTTCCCTCACGCCTTTGCCTGTTATGAGCCTCCTTCACTCTGCTGCATAAGCAGTTGAGGCTGAATTTGTGGTGTTTACAGCTAACTGATGATTGATAAGTACTCTGGCCCTTGCTGTATATGAGTGCCTGACACATAAGAAATGTTAATAAACGTGTGCTGAAAGAATCATTGTTGACAGCCAAGAGAATTTAAGGTACAAATTGTCAGAGAATTTGACATTATTTTGATTATTCCTCCAACTGGGAAGAAAAATACTGATGGCTAAAGATTGTAATTGCTGTGTGATGCAGTGATAACCAAACATATGTGTACCTGTGCTCTGAGGTCGCACACATGCATTGATATGCATTTCTGTTGTACATATAGGAAACAAGGGAGAGTTTCCTGCTTTGCATTGTCATTTCATCATTAGATGTGCTGTCAGTTGACACCACCTTTCCTGCTCTGCTCTCCTGTTTCCTTACAGTTTGTCCTCCTGTGTTTCACTTGACTGACAGTACTGCACAAGCCTGCCTGCCATGGGCTGCCGGGATGTCCACGCAGCCACCGTCCTTTCCTTCCTGTGTGGAATCGCCTCGGTAGCAGGTCTCTTTGCAGGGACTATGCTTCCCAACTGGAGAAAATTACGACTGATCACATTCAACAGAAATGAGAAGAACCTGACTGTTTACACAGGCCTGTGGGTGAAATGTGCCCGGTATGATGGGAGCAGTGACTGCCTGGTGTATGACACTACTTGGTACTCATCAGTTGACCAGCTGGACCTGCGTGTTCTCCAGTTTGCCCTTCCCCTCAGCATTCTGATTGCAATGGGTGCCCTGCTGCTCTGCCTGATTGGAATGTGCAACACTGCCTTCAGGTCCTCAGTGCCCAACATCAAACTGGCCAAGTGCCTGGTCAATAGTGCAGGTTGCCACCTAGTGGCTGGGCTGCTGTTTTTCCTGGCAGGTATTGTTTGTCTCTCTCCATCTATCTGGGTCATCTTTTACAATATCCATCTGAACAAGAAGTTTGAGCCAGTATTTTCATTTGACTATGCAGTGTATGTTACTATTGCTAGTGCAGGAGGCCTGTTTATGACTTCCCTTCTGCTGTTTATTTGGTATTGTGCATGCAAATCTTTGCCTTCTCCCTTCTGGCAACCTCTGTACTCCCATCCCCCCAGTATGCATACTTACTCACAGCCCTATTCAGCACGTTCTCGCCTCTCTGCCATTGAAATTGACATTCCAGTAGTTTCACATGCTACCTAATGAGGAAATAATTGTTAAAGAAAACTTCGTGTAGCCTCACATTCCCTTTGTGCAAAGAGCTCTTTTGGACCAGTATACGTTTTCCTTTGTTTCCGATCAGTGAAGCCAAATTTGTATGTCCTGGTAGAATGAAGTGCTGCTAGTTTTTATAAAGAAGTACATTATATTAAATGTGAATTATTTTATCTTGCTTCTTATGCTGGAAGGATTTTTAGCCTCCATATTGATATGTGATCAGTTCTTTAATTGGAAAGGATATGTGCCACAATTGAGGTGATTTAGAGTGACATGTTTAAAGAATGATGGTATATACAATCTTTGTGGCTATTTCAGAGTATTTTCCTTTTTCTATAATACCTTAAACTTGGAAAAAAGGCAATTTCAAATGTAATAAATTTATTTCAGATAAGGTTAATATTTTAACAGTAATCAATAATTTATCTAAAGGCTATATAACTTTTTGTACTTCTCTCTTGGAGTTAATTGTATGAATAGGCATCAGTATGATAAAGATTATTTTCTTTTGTGAGTTTCTTCTACCTCATGCCAGTGTTTAAAAATAAAATGCATTTTAAATGATATCAGAATCAGACTAACATTCTAAATACTTGCTTATGGATAACATTTAATGTAATTTTTAAAGTTAATGACTCTATGAATTGTACTGTTGGTACTAAAATGTGTTATATGATAGTTAGTGTTTTCCCTGAGACAGAAAAACCTTTTTTGAGATATCTTCATCAAGCAGTACTCATGTCTATATGTAACCTCTTAGTGGCTAAGAGAAATAAACAAAAAGGCCATAATGGTTTGGTTTTTCTCAGACATAAATTGGTCGGGGATGAGAGCCTTTTCTTTGGTTACAGCATTAGAGATTTACTTGGTGATGGTCTTTGGAGACATGGGTGAAATAAGGTATAGATTTACCATGACCACGCCCACTCCTGACTGTGTTCCTACCTTAATCACTGATTACTTCCTGATGTATCCCTGCTCAGCACTTTAGTAGGTGCCGTAGAAGATACATGAAAATGTGAGATTTGATCTCATGGTGAGAAGATCACCCTGTTAGGGAATAGTCCTCTGCCTTCATTGGCAGCTGGCCTTGAGAAGCTATCTCTATCATTGATCTATTTATTTCAACCAGAGACATGACTTTCTGGCAGACAGACAAACTGCACGACACCAACAATATCCTGGACCTTGAAATTCAGTTTATGGCAATCCATTGGATCCTAAGGGCGCCTATGTTTGCTGAGATGTTGTAATGGTATTATATCAGATTCATGAGACTGGGCAAAAACGGTAGAGAAATTATGTGGTTTCCTTTCCACCTCTGAAAGTATGATGATGGAGGGAGTTTTTAAAATCTCTCTTATGAGGTCACAATTAGATGAAACCATGTTAAAACTGAGATGAATGCTTAGAAATTCAGGGATGTTAGATCTTAAGCCTTATGAATTTGAGTTGCTTATTGAATTGGTGTAATTTGCTACATGTTAGTACTATGCTCATAAAGATTTAATTAACCATTACATACTTTACAAACAGCTAGTTATATGGTAAACAGATTATTATGCCTTTCTGTGAACCTGAGTATGATTCTGGTATTTGTGTAGATGTATTTGGTACTTTTGTTTTCTACTTCCAACACTAATATATGTATATAACAAATCCAGTTGTATAATTTTTAAATGCCATTGGTAGGAAGCACACAGGGTTATGGTTTTTCAATTAATATTAAGCTTCTAATTTATTTCAGTTCTGATCTTTTTCATTTTTCTCAGATGTAGCTGAGTCTTGATCATTCCAAGACAATGGCAGGTGGAATTTTGAGATGAGTATTAATTTATCCCCTTTGCTAATTAATTTGAACCCCTGTCTCGCTAAACTTTTGTCCAGAAAGATCAAGAATTCCACCATCCCCTTGGTCTTTTGCATAAACAGTGTTAAAGAAAGTAGACTCAGCTGTTAAGATACTAGGTTGTTTTTAGTTTACATAAATATTAAGCTTTCCTCCAAGAATCTTTTGGCTTTGTAATTTATAACCTCACATTGGTATTTATTATAGATTCACTAAGCAAAAGAAACAGCTGCTTCCTTATTGTCTTTTTTTTTTTTTTTTAGTGTTTCTCATTTGTTATCAGTATCTATTTTTTAAAGCCATCAAAGGAAAGCAAGTAATTACAGTTCTTTTTAGTCCTGTGGAGCACGCATCAGGCTGTCATTGTGATGAGAGGGGATAGCTTTTTTGTTGTTAAAAGTCTATTGATGTGAAAGGCCTTTCATGGAAACCAACTTGGAAAACAATCTCAGATGTGGTATGGTGTACCAGATATGGTTTATCCAGCCACCAGAGTAAAAACAAGCAAACTGGTGTTTACTTGTATATATATGCTATAATGGATAGTATGTTTGCTGTACACGGCAGTGTAAAAAAACCTCAATGAAAGTGTACTGTACTTCTTGATGCTTATTAAAAGATGTATTTTTATAAGTTTTGCTTCTGTTTTTTTCCAGTGCTTTAAGGTGAAATATTTTGAGAAATGTTTCTCAAGTATATGTAAAATTGAAAAAGACACAGTCCTATTTAAAGCCCTAGAGAATAGGAATGAGAAAGGAATAAAAAAACATGGAATTATTATTCTAGAAGTGTCAAGACCCTTCATCCATTTTTAAGAGTGGTCCTAGGAGTTTACTGGGCTGCTTTAACAGTCTGCAAAGAAACACTGAATGAACTTATAGACTAGATTTGCCTTATCATTGAAGTTTTCTCATGGTCTGTGATCCTTGGAGATTGGGAGTTCTCAAGTAGTTGAGTAGGGAACCTTTCCTTCCTCTTCAAAGCTCAAGGTTAGAGAATTGGTTCTGACTGGCAAGTCCCCAGTTGGCTACACTAAAGCACAACAATCCAGAACCTGCTTCAGTTCTGTAGTTTCACTAAGGGATGGTAGAAAAACCTTTCATGCTAACCAGATGCACCAGAGACTGACTTACCAACCAGAAGTGAGAAATACACATTGCTTGCAACTATTATCCAAGACCAGCTTTTAAAAACACCCCTGCACAGAGTTCCCTGGAGAAAAGACTGATTGCAGTGCTGGAGGAGGGAAAGTACAACATGAGCCTAGCACGTTTCATTCTGCCAACTCTGGGACAATTTGAACATAAAAACAAATAATTGTAAAGAGTTATAACCCACTGAATAAAATAAAAGTTAATGTGTCCCTACTGGTATAAATAAATGAAGAAAGAAAAAGCTCTGACAATGAAGTGCCAAAGAGTAAGTGTAGAAAAGATGATAGGGAAACATCAATCAAATTCAAACTAATTGAGTATTGGTGAGAAACAGGATATTTACTTAATCTCAAAGAACAAAATGACTTGTTAATTTCAGAAGGGAAAATCACTTTTATAGTGGATAAACTTGGCAGATACAACCTTAACTGAGCGAACAGATTTGTCAACAATAATGAGACAAGGCAACATCTGGTACCTCCTGATGTGATGCAGTGAGAAGGCCACAGCATTGTTTTTGTGGTATTGCTTGAGTCTAATTTTGAGGAGACATGCAGCGCACTGGTCCCATCTCTGCTTTTTGTGCCCTTCTGTCTCTCCTGACCTCATACCTCTTCATTTTTATAAAAATGCATAAAAACTTAGTCTAAGTTATCTTCAAAATATTTTATAAAATAACTCTTTTTAAAGAATTTGTGTCAGGTCTTCTGTCCTAAAAACTAAAAAGGGAAAGGCCCTGCAGAAGAGTTTAAATCAAAGTCAGAACCATAGGACTGGATTTGATCAGGTTATCCCACACACACTGGAGAAGTCTTTCTCTTCTCTGTACCTGCTCTCTGTACTAACCAAGGAAGGTTCTGTGTCTCATAGCATGCATGAGTCCTTTAAATCTCACTACAGGCCGGGCTCGGTGGCTCAGCCTGTAATCCTGCGCCTTGGGAGGCTGAGGTGAGTGGATTACCTGAGCCTGCGGGTTCGAGACCTGCCTGGGCAACTTGGTGAGACCTCATCTCTACAATAAATCAAAAAACTAGCCGGGCGTGGTAGCGCGCACCTGTAATTCCAGCTACTTGGAAGGCTGAGGCGGAAGGATCGCTGAAGCCCCAGCAGGTTGAGGCCACTGCACTCCAGTCTGGGTGACAGAGTGAGACTCCAACTCAAAAAATAAATAAGTCTCACTACAGGACTGTGGAACTTGGGGAGAAAAAGCACATTTATATCCTTCCTCATATTCATATCCAAATCTACTATTAATGGGAGATTTGGGTTTGCTGTATTTTGTTTGGAAATATGACAGTGTTTCAGACTGTTCTGTAAAAAATTATTCAACTTTTTGGGGAAGAAAATGGGAGGGTAGATGAGAAGGAAAGGAGAGAACATTTTTCTTATTTTGTATGAAAAACCCAGGGTGACTGGGCCTGTTAGCAAGAGTCTAGCAGTCATGATTTTGGGGTGGTACTTGTTCACTGAAATCCTCTTAGAAGGATGGAATATATATTCATGTCTCTAGGATTTTTGCTTTATGGAAAAAGGTGACCGCTTCTCATCAAGAGAAGTTACCCCTATTTCCAAGATTTTTACTCTCAACAATGTGAGAGGAAACCTCTACTAAATAAATCTAAATAACCCACTTAAATTTTTAAATAATTTTTGCCTTTTCCCTCTTTTTTAACCTCACTCTCAGAAGATAATCTTGTGGTGTGGAAGGTCCAGATGGGTTTTTAACACTAGGAGGTTGTGGCAGGCAGCATGGACTCCCAGATCCCAGCATCGTCTTCTGGGAAGAGCAGGTGCCTTGGGAAACCCATCTTTACGTTTACTGGCCATGTGGATGAAGTCTTAGACTCACCTGGACCCTTATGTTCCTGAACTGCCAACCTCCTCTGGTTGCTTCTGCTTTAAGAACTTGAAGGTAGCAGTGGGGTGCTGGAGCCAGGTGGTACTAGCCCACAAGAATCAACTGTGCACATCTCACAACTCCTTGTTTGGTGACATCATGTTGGTAGCTGGGTGGAAGTACTCATGCCCCAGAAACTGGTAAATACTACAAGTTAGGGCTTTTCTTTTCCCTGAGAGCTGGCTGTTAAACATTTACCAGTGCACCACTGCTCAGGTGAGATTAGTTTATTGAGTTTCAGGTGAGTTGATGAGGAAATGAGTAATAGCAAATGCTGAGAGTTGTAAAACTATCTGTGATAAAGGGACTATCTGAAGTAACCTTGTAGCTCTCTCGCATCCCACCACAAATTCAGCATGTACATGAGGAGCAGAATGATCCTAATAAAATGCAGCTGTGACCTAGTCGCTCCCATCCTTAGAATAATTCAACCCTCAGAGAGTAGGTCTTAGGCAGTAGTATACACAGGAGTACATCAAAGAATACAGGGAAAAGCAAACTGCCTGGCATAGCACAGACAGACAAGAGTTGTCTAAAAGAATTTTTTCACCATGCCCAGAGCTGATCGGTCTCTTAGTGATTACTGACACTGAATGTCTCACAAGACGATGTGTGAAAAAGAATGCAAGTTTAATAAGTGTTGGGGAATATCCCTTTTCTGCAACTAAATGGTCACATTCCTTATTCAAGGAATATATGTTTCATGAATGGTGGAAACTGTCACATGACAAATGTGATAGCTAGCCTCTAACATGGTCCCCAATAATCCCGCATTCTGGTATTCCTATTTTTGTCTGGTCCTTTCCCTCACTGTGCAGGGCTGACCTGAGTTACCAGTAGGATTTTACAAAAATGATGGCTTGTGACTTCTGAGGTTATAGATCATAAATGACATTATAGCTTCTGCCTTTGTTCCCTTTTGGATCACTTACTGTGGGGGAAGCCAGCCACAATGTTGTGAGGACGTGCATAACTGCATGATTAACATCGGAGGAACTGAGGCTTTCTGGTAACAACCAGTACCAATTTGCCAGCCATGTAAGAGAGCCGTCTTGGAAGCAGATTTCCCCAACCCCAGTCAAATGTTTAGATGATTGCAACCCTGGTCAGCTCTTGAGTGCAACCAGACTCTGGGCCAGAATCACTCAGCTAAGCTCTCCCC